GTAAAATATGTAATTATAAAATTACCTTGTACCGTATCGCAGGAGCGACCCCCCAACCCACTCAACAAAATTCCTTCAATTGGGGAGATGCCCTGCTCCGCTCCGCTCCAACATTTGCCCCGTATGTGGTATATAAGTTATACCAAACACATACCTACCATGCAATTCTCATGTGTTTACATATGTAAAACCTAGAGTTTGATATTTGCATTTATAACATATTTGTGTCATAGAACTGCTTATGAAAAAGCTATTTCACTAAAAAAAAGTTAAAAATGATGATATTTTCGTATGTGACATTAAAGTTGCGAGTGTTATAAATGTAAATATGAAATTTTAGACGTTTGATATGTAAATACGAAAGAATAATGTGGTATGTATGCAAATACCCCAAGTTCATCATGTTTCTCTAGCTAGTTCCCCCATATTTTCATAAGAATTCTCATATATAAAAAAGTCAGCAATAACTTAAGCCATGCTCCAAAGATACTTCTCTGATGACCATTTTAAAGCTCACGCTAGAAAACCTCATTGGATTGATCGTCTGCTTGTTCCTCATCCAAATTTGGAGCCTGTGATGGAACAGGATGGAAACTTTCGTAATCGCTGGAAGGATCATTTGTTGCCCATGATGGAACATAATAAAAGATTTCGTAATCGCTGGAAGGATCATTTGCTGCTCATTGGAATTTGAAGCTTGTGATGAAAGAGGCCGAACAATTTCATGCTCGCTAACAAGGGAAGGCAAATTCTAATCCGGTGAAGGTAACTTAGCTTGTCCGTTCCTGCTTGTTTCAGTCTCTCCTAACTTTCCTTTCTTCTAATGGAATCGAAGAAGAATATGTTTTTCAGAATTAGTTAAGTATACAGGTCTGATTTCATACCATCAACAACTATAACTTCTACATAGCATAGACCAAATACTCTAGTCTCTCCTAACTTCTAATAGTTCAATTCCTACTTCCCCCAACACATTCTTACACATACAATGCATCTGTCAACCCTTTCAAAATATCTTCAATAATAACCTAAACTCAAACATGTCTCACTTAAAACCAAAAATATTCAACCTACTCCATTCTATTTATATCTCTGATCCAACCTCCTACATCAAAGTTGCTAAACAATCTGTTTGGTAAAGAGCAATTTCTGCAGAATTTGAAGTACCTCAAGCTCAAGTTACTTAGGTTATGAAACCACACCACTATCAATCAAAAGTAAATGAAATCAGGCAGAAATAAGAGTTTGCTTCTTTGAATTATCGCATTAAATTCTTTATTTTAATCACACAAATTCTTTCCTTTTAGCTGAATATTTAGAATAATAATATGTATTATTAAGCTACATAAAATATATTACACTATTTATTATGTATTTAAAATAGATTGTACATAGTATTATTTATTGAAATGAAAACAAAGGAAAATTCATTCAACCTATCTACTCAAAATATTGACATGGTGTCTTCAAAGCTAGTCTTTGAAACCGTTCTCCCATCTTTGCTTAGAGCTAATTCATCTTTGCCGACACCTTCACCTGCAAATCGACGAAGAGTCTAGTTCTCTCGACTTCTCGCACAGCTCATCAGCTTCGCCGACATCCTCACCTGGACTGCTTGTCGCTTTGACGTCTACGTCTTCTCGTTTGGTTCGACTGATTGACATATTCGCCTAGACCTATCGCTCCATCTGCTTAGCCTGGACATCTCACTTCGTCTGCTCGTTTTGTCGCATGGTCAACATCTTAACTTCTTCGCCCGACCGATATCTTAGCGTGGACTTCTCGCTTCGTCTTCTTGTCTGGTTCACTCGATCGGGCTGTTCGCTCTTCTGGATTGCTTTGACTTCTTTGTCTGCTTCATCTTTTCGTTTGTTTCATCTGTTTATCTGTTCGCTTCGCTTCCTCCTTGCAGGCAGAAATCAACACGATTCAATCTCTCCTATCCAAATAGCGCACAATCCTTCTTTGTTCACGCCAAGCAACCTGCCTACTCAAGCCCTTGACAACATTTATTCTTCGTACACCGCTACAAACACCCGTCAACAATTCTATTTAAAATGTCTTCATAAATCTTAGATATTGGATTCACCGGAAAGAATTATGCCGCATGTAAATTTTAGCTCAAGGTATTTTTGAAAGGGAAGGAGCTTTGGGGTTATTTGATGGGTCTTCTCAAGAACCTACATAGCCGAAAAATCTCGGTCAATGGGAGGCAAAGGATGCTTGGTTTGTTTCTTGGATATTGGGATATATTGAGGCTCATATGGTGAACAATTTACAATCCTTTGGGATGACTAAAAAAATGTGGGAATATTTGAAGCGCGTCTACAATCAAAATAATAATGCAAGACGCTTTCAGTTAGAACTTGATATAAATAATTATAGTCAAGGTAATCTCTCAATTGAACAATATTATTCTAGTTTTTTAAATTTATGGAGCGAATATTCTGATATTATCTATGCTGAGGTATCAAAGGAGAACTTAACTAGTTTTCAGGATATTCATGAAGTGAGTCGTCGCGATCAATTTTTTATGAAGCTCAGATCTGAATTTGAAACTGCCCAAGCTGGGTTGCTGAATAGAGATCCAGTGCCTTATTTTGATGTATTTTTCGTGAATTACTGCATGGAGAACAAAGATCAACGACACAAGCCGCTGTTGGAGCAGCTGGCGAATCATAAAAAATAGTCATTGTTTCATATGCTGCTCAAACCCGAGGGAAGTAAACAAAGCTTTGTTACAACTATAAAGAATTTGGTCATACTGATTGCCAATGTAGTAAGAAATTATGCAATTATTAAAAAAAAAACAGACATATTATTTAGGAGTGCCCCACACATCCTCAAAATTGCGAACGACGAGACCTTCATGCTGGGGTATCCGACTCTCACAATCCTGCTTCGGCATTCATAATTACCAAAAAAAATCAATTTGTTCTCACACTAGAAATGACTCAACAGACGATTCTCTGTATTTTTTGTTCTTGGCCTTTAAGAGAAAGATAAAACTGTTACTTTTATTTCTTCTCATTGGTTTGTTGATTCTGGCGTCACAAATCATATAACTGCAAATTTGATTTATTACATAATCAACTCCCGCACACTGGTACTCAACTGGTACTCAACATATTCATATTGCTGATGTAAATAATATTCCGATTACGGCAGTTGGTGATATTAGCTACTTTTTTAAACATGTCTTGGTTTCTCTTAAGTTATCTACAAACTTACTTTTTATTAGTCAAATGGTGGATAATAACTATGACATACACTTTTCTCCTGATAGTTGTATTGTGCAGGATCAGATGTCGGGGGAAGTGATAGTGAAGGGGCCTAAAGTGGGCATGTTATTTTCATTATAACTTTCCATCCATCGGACTTTGGCATTAGCTTTTGCGGTTTTTGAAAATAAAGCTGGCATCTGACATAGAAAATTAAAGCATCCAAATAATGTTATTTTGAATCATTTATTACAAAGTTGTGTTTTTGATCATACAGATAAAAACTTACTAGTGAACTGTTTTTTTGTAAACTCGTCAAAAGTAAAACATTATTTTTTCTTATTTTGTACAGTCGTGCTAATAAATGTTTTGACATTATTCATAGTGATGTTTGGGGAATTACAATGATTATTTCACATGCTCAATATAAATATTTTGTAACATTTATTGAAGATTACAGCCGATTCACATGGATCTATTTTTTGCATTCCAAAAGATTACAACCGATTCACATGGATCTATTTTTTTCATTCCAAAACATAAGTGTTTACCGTGTTTCGATCATTTGTGAACTATATCAACACACAACATAAGTGTTTATCGTGTTTCGATCATTTGTGAACTATATCAACACACAATTCCCGACTTGCATTAAAGCCTTACGGACTGACAATTGTGGCCAATACATGTCTCATAATTTCAAACATTTTTTCATAGCAAGGGCATTGTCTCACAACCTTCATGTCCTTAAACACCTAAGTATAATGGAGTTACCGAATGGAAAATTGTCATTTGTTGGATATGATACATACATTGCTGATAGAATATTTTATTTCAACTAAATATTGGGTAGAAGCTTTATCTACTGTAATCTAATTGAATAATCGCTTACCGTCTCAACAATTGAAGTTTGATTCTCTTTGTTATCAAATTTTTGGTAAACATCCTAATTATCACATGTTTCACACTTTCAGATGCTTTTGTTTTGTTCATTTGTCTGCCCATGAACGATATAAGTTAGGAGTGCAGTCTGCTCGACGTGCCTTTATGGGTTACAATCCTAGTCATAAAGGGTTTATGTATTATGATTCGATTAATAATCAATGACTTATCTCTCGGGATGTGATTTTCTTTAAACATGAATATTATTTTCAGCATCATCTTTCGACATCTGACACTATTAAACTTCCTCACTTTGATGACTGTTCTTTTGATAAAAGATTGAAGTCTGACCTTGTCTATACATGACACCTGACTCCTTCATCGTTAGTCCTTTCTGACCCTGCTCCTGAAAATGCTCAAATAATTCTTCGACGATCAACTCGACACATTCTTCCTTTGAATATATGTGGTTATTCTGTAATTTTAACTAATATTATTGTTCTTACATTTTATTCTTAGGATGCTAAACAAAATTTTTGAATAAAAGCCATGCAAGAGGAACTTCTGGCACTTCAAGACAA